TAACATTTTCTACATAGACAAAATTTTAGAGAATTCATTATCAGGAAACCTTCACAGAAGGCTGGATCTATACAAAAAATAAATAAAATTATTATGAATATTTTGAAAGCTTTTGTTACTCTTTTTGCTCAATATGACAAAAACTTATTTTTTTTTTTTTTGGTACCGGGGATCGAACTCGGGTCGTTGCACTTGCGGGGCAGGTGGCGAAACCACTGAGCTAAATCCCCGGCCCTAAAGTTGATTTTTAAAACACACACAAATACAGTACGCTTGTTCTTGACCTTTCTGCAGCACTTGATGTCATTGAATGAGCTCATTTTATGGAGTCTTTGTATTTAGCATCAGTGACCATTAATTCTCCTGGAATCTACCCTACCTCTGCAAATACTGCCCCATTTCTCTGTCTCTCCTTCTCCTAGCACAATTTAAATGTCCCCAAGGGCTCTAGCATCAGCCTTCTCTTCTTTTGTTATACCTTCCACTTGGTAGCTTTAAGAATCCTATTTGAGGGCCGGGGATTTAGCTCAGTGGCACCGTGCCTGCCTCGCAAGTGCAAGGTCCTGAGTTCAATCCCCAGTCCCCGCTACCCGCCCCCCCCATCCGCCTAAAAAAAAAGAATCCTATTTGACTTCTCTAAATAGCTCCTCAAATGCATGTCTTTGGCCTTGAAATTTTTTTTTTTAGTTACTCATAAGTCTATTACATGTGTTCATTTGATATTCCTAGTCTGTGGGCCCTGAGTTCAACTTACCCCGGTCCTCAAAACTACCCTTCCCTTCTATGGTCCCTGCACAGTGAATAGCTCTAACCCTTTCAGTCACTCAGTCACTCTGTGAATTAACCTTTGATCCTGTCCTCCACTTCCCATTAGTGGTTACTACCTCTATGGAATCTACCCAAGATCTTCTTTTGTAATTATCTGTCTCTCCCTCCCCAGATTTTCATTGCATCCTGCTCTTTTACTGGCTTCCTGCCACACACACACATGCACACACACACACACACACACACACACAGAATGACTCAGGTACCATGCATAGTACTAGAAATTCATCTATGAACTAGAAAGACAGGTTCCCTGCCTTCAAGGAGTTCAGGCCTTGTGAGTGAGACAGACAAGAGAACAAGCAGTTGTTATTTATTGTGATAGGTGCTTTGGGAATAAAATACTGTGTTTGCTGTGGGAGCCCTTTAAGAGGAGCTGCTATCCAGAACTGAAGAGTTAGGGAAGGCATCCCAGTGGAGATGACATTTAAACGTAGGCCTGAGGGTGGAAACAGAAGGTTTCCAGCAGGTTAAGGTCAGGAAGGACAGACAAGGCAAAGGAGGGAGATGAGTACTAGAGGCCAAGGGAACTGATAGGAAAAGATTTGGAAATTCAAGAGAGTAGCATTTACTTGAAGAACTACTGATGACTTAGTATGGCTGAGAAGTAGAGCATTAAGTGTAGTGAGAAGTGAGGTTTGCTACGGTTTGGATATGGTTTGAATGTATCACCCAGGGCTTCAGGTGTTTAAACTTAATTCTCATTTTGAAGTGTTAAGAGTGTAGAAACTAAATTTCATAATGACACTGGGGTGGGGGCATTGGAGCAGGGAAAAAGATCAGATTTAGGTGATCAGGATTAGATAAAATCATTAGAGCCCTCATGATTAAATCTCATATTTTAAAAGAAAAAGGGAGACCAGAAGAGATAGACTGTCATTCAGACATACACACAGGCATATACATGTATTACATAGCCACACTCCCTGTCTCTTGCCGTGGGATGTCCTGGTCCACCCAGCCAGCAAGAAGGTCATCACCACATCCATTTCTTTGACCTTGAATCTCCAGAACTGTAAGCCAAAATGAATCTGTCTTCTTTGTAGGGTTCTTTATAAGTCTGTGGTATTCAGTTATTGGCAACAGAAAATGTACCAAATCAGGGCTGGAGGAATAAACAACACCTAAGTCATGCAGGATCTCTTGAAATGAGTTAAGGAGTTTGCAATTTATTCTTAGAACAATGAGGATTCACTATGAGTTTTAAGAAATGAAGGAACGGGGCTGGGGATTTAGCTCAGGGGCATCTTGCCTACCTCGAAAGTACAAGGTCCTGAGTTGGATCCCTACTGGGGGTGGCAGGGTGGGGGATGAAGGAACATAATCAGTATGTATTTTAAAAAATATTATCCATAGTACAGATTTGATGTAGTCAAGATTAGAGGCTTGTTAGCCCATAGGTAAGAAGATTATTGCTTTCATAGACAAAAATGATAATGATGGCCCTGAAATACAAGCAAGCTGTAGGATGAGAGAAATATTTGTGTATGTGTGTTCGGGTGATATTTATGGCATTTGGGTTTCTTTATCAGTGATTGATTATAGGATACAATCTGTACTTGAAAGGGATAGTGAAGGAATCAGTGATATGTTTGGAAGTGCCATTCACAAAGACAAGAAATGCTGAGAGATGGTCTGGCATGGGAGAAAGAAGTTAAATTCAGCTCTGTGTATGTGCATGTTGAGTTTGAAGCTTCTATTGGATTAGCTGAGTCAGGACATCTAGTAGGCAGTTGGCCACATGGCTTTGGAACTTCAGAGAATAACTAGAAGGACTCAGCAATGAGATGGTACCTGAAAAGACTACATGAAGTCATTTGGAAGGGCTGAAAAGGATAGCCTTATTTTAAGAATAGGCCTGAGTTAGGAAGTAAATGAAAGGTTAGGATGGAAAGAGCAAGTTTAGATAGGTTGTTCAAGAGGATCAGCTCTAAATAAGGGAAAGAATGTAACACCTGGGGTTAGGCGAGGATGTCTGGGTTATTTTTCTCATTCCTGAGACAAAATGCCTGATACCCAAAGTTAAGGAGCAAAGCTTTATTTTGGCTCACAGTTTGTAGAGGTTTCAGTTCACAATCAGCTGGCTCTAATGCAGGTAAGCATGGGAAAGGGATGTGGCAGAGGAGAAACAGCTCATGGCATGCAGAAAGCAGCAAAAGCAGCAAGTGAAGGCAGCAACCCTCTTTCTGCCTCCCTATATTCTATCCAGACTACATGCCCTTAGGGCAAGTAGTACTCACACCTAGGGTGGGGCAACCTTAATCCTACTCAGAACCGTGTCAAACCAATCAGTGGACTAATCTAGTAATCACACACCCTTGATCCTAGCATCACACATGTAGATCCAGCCACCTCTGAAAAGCCCCAGCTATGACCACATGAGGCTTTGGGGGGACATCTAGACACAAGCCATTACAGAGGATGTCTATTTGTTTCTTTGCTTTATGAAGGAAAGGACACATTCATATATAATAAGAAGGTCTGTC